TAGTATAGAGAGATTTTAAACATAATAAGCACTTAGAGAATTAATGTAGAACAGCAGTTCAGAAGCATCAGTCATTTGTAAGCTCTGGCTGGCATATCTATTTAGACAGCATGACCCCCGAGAAACAAAGTTTCTTTTATATGTAAATATGAATTCAGGCCCATTCTCCCCAGTAAATCAAAGCAATATGAATTTCAGTTTTATAAAGACATTTGAGAAATTGAGAGATGAAAGAAGCAATGTATTTAGATCCCAGTAATTTGGAGTCTTGGTGAAACCATACTGAGCAGGGGATCTTGTAAACCAGGGACTAATCCAGCAAAAGCTTGCTGGTTGTTGTAGGAGACAAAGCTGTACTCAAAGACTGATGGTTACTTTTAATTTGAATGTTCTCACTATATCAATTAATACTGATAAATAACATTCCTATTTAAAGTAGAAAAGTGGTCTTTTCTGTAGTTACCAGTAATACCACCTACATTTTCTTTTTCCCTCTCAGTCCTTTCCCATCCCTGCCATACAAACAGTCACTGTTTCTTTAAATCACGTTTAATTAAGGTTTTTCTTCTTTTCTGTTTTTACACCTGTTATCCCATGTTGGTAGCAAGTATAGCCTGGATTTCTAATAAATGCAAATGGATTAAAGAAAATCATGAGTTCAAGATTATTTTAACTTCACTGGCATAATTATTAACATCTCCATTGTCCCCTGGGATGTGTAGGATTACATCAATTAAATTGGTCTCTGTAACTGAACACATTAACCATAAATGTGACTACTGTGTCTTCATCAGCACCCTTTAGGTATTTAATTTTCTTGCCTGTAATAGATTGTCAGAGCAGTAAATGTAAGGCAAGTAACATAAACTGTGTAATGATGGTAATTATCTGAATGGATCAATTGTAGTGTTATTGCAACATGATATTGTGGGGAGGAGTGAGGTATAGACATCCCATATAAATTCCCATTTTCAGCTTTATTTCCTTACACATTTTTTTCCAAGACATTTGAAGTGAAAACAGCATACACTGGCATTGCCATTCTCTCTTTTATCTCCTCTATTACTCTTTGTGCTGTTGCCTTACTGAAACCAGCAGACCCCACAAAAGCTAAATTTCTCCAAAGCAAGAAGTGACTTTATGTAATTGGAATTCCCTGTGGTTCATGGTATCCAAATATTTGAAGTGGACATCTCTTTGTAGATTGGCTAGTTTGTTCCCTTCATTTATTGCCTAAAGAACTATAAACCCACTTGTAAATCTTTATAAATGGCTTGATAAAAGTTACACAGCCTGGTATTGCCAGGTAAACAGCAGTGGGATGGAGCTGGACCTGGCACCCACGCCCCCACCTGGGCTGAGGGGGCACTGAGAGGCTGTGCCAGCTGCAGGCACAGAAGGCATTCACTGTGACAGGCCAAGGCAGTTCCTGAAGGAAACAGCAACTAGTCAGGAAAGGCTTTCACTCTTCTTTGGGTGGGGAATGAGGAGAAGAAACAGTCTAGAGATAACCAGTATTTTAAAAGTCCAAACAGATGACCAGCCTGTGAGTAGGACTGGGCTGTGTGGCAGATGTCTGTCCATGATAAGAATGGGAAAATATGGCAGGACCCCATCGGAGGAATAGGAGCATTAGAGGGGTTGCTGAAGCAAGGATTCGGGCCCAGAAGCATGAGGGTGGAGCCAACTATCAGAACTAACACAGGAAAAAGGAATGGGCAGGAATCCTGGAATTCCCACTGCCAGGTCAAGGTGATCTGACAGAGCGAGACCACTTCCAAACAACTTTCCTTGCAAGTTTCCTCAACTGTTGTGCTCCATCATCATTAGATCACTTCACCTGAGTTTCATTGTTAATTAAAGTAACAATCTGGCCTAAATCTGAAACTTTTCATGCATCTGCCAAAGAAGACATTGAAATCACCAGCAGCACAAATAAAAGTACACATAACCCACACCTTCTGCTTTACCAGAACACAGAACACTAGCACATCAAATCACCATAAGTGAAAAATATATACCGAATACACACAGACCTGTGGCTGCAACCTGCTGTCCCAGGGCAGGGGACGTGAGGAGAGCACTCCTCGTACTGATCACAGACGGGTACTGTGGTCTCCAGGGCTGGTAGGGAAGGGCTTGAATTTGTGGGAGGCCTGAGGTGGTTGCCTCAGAGAGGCAGTGTTTCTGGGGAGAAAAGAGCACAGAGAAAAGCAGAGGTGCCACTTAGAGGTGTGGTTGTGAAGGGGAAAAGGAAGAGGGAAGTTTCCAAGACGCCAAGTAATAAAGTAGAAATGTAAGACCAACTTCCCCAATCATCATCCATTAAAGAGGCTTGTGGGTAAAATTGCAATATTTCCAGAATCTCTCATTTGGCCTTAGTTCATTTCCATATCAATACGTGTTCCCAGGTGGTAGAAAGGAGTAGTCTATCTCCTGTCAACAGGGGGTCACAAGGGAAGTAGAGAGGTGAGCATGCGGGGACCAAGAGTGGGTTTATTTTTGGTGGGGGGGAGGTTCTGCCCAGCCAGGATGGGGAGAAATACGGGCCAACAGAAGTAGATGACTTCTTGTAAGCAGTAAATGGGTTTCTCCCACTATGTTTTTTCCTTTTGACTAATCTCAGCTTCAAAGGTTTATTTGCCCCAGGCTGGAAGCACATTTCCCCCCTGGAGTTACAAGGCTAAAACAAGGCCACGGGTAGAGTGGAAGAACAGCCCAAGAACTTAGTATGCTCTGAATGAAGCAAAGAACACAACTAGAGCATTGGTAGGAAAGAGGAGTGAGAGGAGGAAATTTGTTGAATGTGTAATAGGATGGAGTTAAGGGACATGATTCTAGCATGATTTGGATAGAAATAAAAAAAGTGAGACAAAAAGGTGGAATAATGAACACTAGTACCTGGAGAAGGAGGACGGGAGTGGGGCAGAAAGGGCAGGAAACAAAGCTGGCTGATACACTGCTTAGTATGGCTTTGAATTTGGAATCATGTTGATGTTTTCCATATTTAAAAAATGAAATGCATAAGAAGAGCAGTAAATTTGAATACTGTCAGAAACAAATTAACTGAATTTCAAATGAATAGCATAACCACACTGAAGTGGGGAAGTGGAGGGAAGGAAGAACAAATCTAGCAACTTTTGAACACAGTATTTTCACTATATGCCGTCTAAAGAAAAAAAATTGCAAACTCTTCTTAGGACTGTTTGTAGTGTGACAATTTTGTACATTCTGTAGGGTTGAATAAATAAATATAAAAATCTTTGTTTCCTACAAAATAGCAGCATACTCACAGACTCCAAGAAGGGACTAGTGGTTACCTAAGAGGATGGGTGTGGGAGGGTAGTGGGGAGGGAGGGGGAAGGGGATTGTGGGGTATCATGATTGGTGCACATGGCATGTGTGGGGTCACGGGGAAGACAGTGTAGTTCAGAGAAGACAAATAGGCACTCTGTGGCATCTTACTACACTGACGGACAGTGACTGCAATGGGGTGTGGTTGGGGGGGACTCGATAATAAAGGTGAATGTAATCACCACATTGTTTTTCTTGTGAAACCTTCATAAGAGTATATATCAATGACACTGTAATAAAAAAATTAATTAATTAATTGATTGATTGAAATAAAATCTTTGTTTCCTAGTGTCATTCCCCAACTAAAAAGAAGCAGGATTCCTTGGAGAAATGGCTGCCTTCAGGGATAGGACAAAGAAAGCAAAATGGACCTGGAACATGTCCCTTTGCCAAAAATAAACACTTTAAAAGATGACGGGAACATGTCAGAGAGACACAGCCTAAAGGATGTCCCTTCCCAGAGCTGCACAATTTGAGCGTCAAAATAAATGCTGGCAGTAATGACTTATAACCCTTTCAATAATATAAGAATCCACATATTCATACTGATAAATAAATAGGAAATCATGTTATACTATTCTTGCAAATCATCTGTAAGTTTGAAATTACTTCCAAATAGAAAATTATTTGGAAGTCTGAGGTGGTTGGCTCAGTCTGATGGGAAGAAACTATAAAGGAAAAATATGATGATCTTTGTACCACCTAAAAATCATACCATACTTTTGTTAAAAAAACAAAAACAAACAAAAAAATGGATTTAGAGCTCTCTATCCCCACTTTCAAGTGGCAAAGTGGGTTGCAGTGAAGGGGCAGGAGGAGCCGAGTGTGCCTGGGGGAGCGGGGTGGGCGGTCTCGGCCGCAGCTGTGGGGAAGGTGAACTGACGGTGTACAGGATTCAGGCTCAGCCATCAGTGCCTCAAGTGGATCACGTCCCCAAATAGGGAAGGCAGTTCTCATTGCCACTGGTTCATGCCCATTCTTAAACCTTATATGCTGATTCTGATTACCTTTTTTCCCATGTTATTCCACTAGTAACCTAGTAACCATATTCAACCTAGTTTCCTATGGTAACCTATCTGACCTTCAGATATGCACATGGCTCTGACTAGCAGGAAAGCAATGGTTTTAAAAGGAGTAGGGGAGGAATAAATTTCTCATTATAGTCTTATGTTTAAAAGTCATTGATTAGCAAGGAAAACAATATGTTAGTTTGCATTTGGAATTATGTTTTTGTGAATTTACCTGAGATTCTTTTCCATGGTCTAAATAAATATTGGGTTGTGAAACTGTGACAGGTCTTAATGAAGTGGGTTAAGGCATTTCTTGCATTTACATTTTCATAGAATGAAATAAACATTCTAATTATTTTACAGAACACTCACATCAGGTGTGATTTGATTTTCTACCTGTTCAGAATATCAAGTTTTGCATTTCTTTAAATGGGAATATATTTTCATGAACAAGTTGATAAGAAAGAAGTCATCCCTGAGATATTTATAATAGTACTTGGAGCAAACTTGTCACAGATTCTTCCAAAAGATTGTTTTGGATCCTGAGTAGATATATTTAGTAACTGTATTGAATAAGTTGTCGCATAACACAACATTTCATTGATTTGTTTGTATTATTTTTGTATCTTACTGCAGGCAGAAAATTCAGCACTGGCTCTGGAAAATGAAAATCAAAGGGAACAGTATGAGCGATGCCTTGATGAGGTAAGCAGAGTGGAGAGGTGCTATCTAGGATTCCCGTAGTTAGATGTTAATTTATGTCTATTTCCAGCCTGCAGAGGTAACAGACATATATTAAGCATTGGCATTTTGTCCTTGAGAGGAAGGTGGTTAACAGGTGGATACTGAGAGTGAAGGTCACCCAGTTTCTGTAGTCCTCCCGCACCCCCACACCCCCGCCACCTTCTCTATTTCCTTATACAGGTATGGGTAAATTCCTTTTGGTTATTCTTTAACATTCTTGGGGTACTTGATACTAGGGTATGCTCCACTATATGATAAAGTCCTTCCAGTATTTAGGGGGATCCAGCAAGTGTGATCCCAGTCTATGAGCGAGAAAAGCCCTGTCAGGACACACTGCACCTCCAGTTGGATGCCATTTCTGAAAAAGCAAATCCTTGATAGAGTGGGTGGGGACTATGTTCACAGTTGGCAGCCAGAGGAAAAATCAGTAGATTGAGAACAAGCCAAGAAGAGAAAGGAAAGCAAGGAAGGAAACTGGAGCAGAATGGAAGAAGATGGGGCCACATGCATTAGTAAACCCAAGGAATAATATTTGATGATAATGAAGAGATGAAGGCAAAGATGGTGGGTGTTCCTGAGTCCCTGTGAGGCAAGGGGGAAACTGAAGTATGTGCAGGCCCCTTCTGCTCTTAGCCCTCCCCCTGGGGAGCAGACCTTTGGGGAGCACGCTGTCAGTCCACACTGTGTCATCTCTCCAGGACTGGCAGTGCACCTCACTGACAAGCTCTCATCTGGGACCGTGTTGGTGATTGGAGTTAATTTAATGAGATGACATTTTTAGTCATTTGCCCAATACCCTGGAAGTTGCACATATTGTTCTAGTAGATTCCGTTTGAGAGTTGTTATGATACAGCTGAAACAAATTTGAAGAAAATAGAAAAGTTACATTTAATCAGGTTCCATTACCTTACCAGAGGAAGCTACCAATATATCTTTAGTCATTGTCTCCTCACTAGCAGTTGGGAGAATGTTTTCCCCAAGAATCTTGATCTTTCTTACCTGATCTTTCTTACCCCTTCCTTCCCCCTGACACCCTAAGCACCCTCTCCCCTTTCCCAGTAGGCAATGTGTTATACTATATAGAGCACAGGCTCAAATCCCAGGTATGACATCCTCCACACTCCTGTATGCCTCTCTCCAGACTGGGAGTGGCGTCCCTCCTCGGAGTTCCAGTTGTGCCCAGTATTTCCTACACCAGTGATTCTTAAAATGGGATCCCTGGACCAGCAGCATCAGCCACTCCTGGGAACTTGTTGGACACGCCAATTCTCAGGCCTTACCCCAGACATTCAGGATCAGAGACTGTGGAAGTGAGCCCAGGAATCAGTTTGTCAGCAAGCCTCCACACAATGCCCTGCACCTGCAGTGTGGGGAATCACCGTCCTTATGGCACAGCCCACTTTGCATTGCAGTTACATGTGGTCAGAGAACCCTGCAAGTGTCCCTGGAAAACTATTTAATTGTTTACTATTTAACATTTTAGTTGTTTAGTAGGTCCAACCATATATATTAGTTATTCAAGCAGAATGGTGTTTGCAGTTCCTGCCCTGTTGGGACTTCAAAGACTCAGAATAACCTTTACGTGTCCAAAGTTAAAAGAGTAACTGAAGGAAGTTGGGAAAAAGGGGGACTGATGACTCAGAGCCTAGTGAAGTCAGTTCAGCACTTCTCACCCCTGCTCCCCTGGCTCTTGGTCCAATCACAGTTTAAGGCAAGAGAGACCAAATAGATCCAAGGATGTTAAAAGGAACAAATATTGCCCTTGAGTCCTGTGTATTGATCAGCAACATTTCACTTTAACCTTCTCTGCAGAAATTTCCGATAAGACTTAATCTGTATTCAGAAGTGAGATTTATGTGACTAGCACCACAGAAACTTCTTCCTTGTCACAGTTCTCTCACAAGCCATCCCTCCCCACCAGTTAAAAAGCTCACAGCATTTCTTTATGGAAAGGCATAGTCTATAGTCTGTCTTCCGTATGCTCCCTTATGCCTGCCTTCTGAATGTTTCATCAGAATGTGTCAGGCAAAACATAAGTTTTCACCCACAAACTCATTTCACATAAAGTTTTCTGCTGAAGACAAATTTTGGAGGGAGAGTCCCTCTGTTCTTAATTACAAAAATTAACTGTTGCTAGAGAGGTGATTTGCAAGAAAGAACCATCTCTGAGCAGTACAAACATTTTGTATTCATGAGTCCTGGCCCCTGATTACACATGCCAGTTGTTTTGTAACTAATTGCATGAGGGTAGACAATCCATTTCCATGCATTGTAAGAGAACACTCTCAAAGGGGTAGTTGAATGTAGTAATAATGCCAACTGGAAATTCTTTTCAAGGCTTTTTATACTAATTAGACAAACTAACAAGGTAAGGCCTCATGTAAGTTATTTCCTTGCTAGTGAGTTTCATAAAACATACACAGGTGGATGAGTTGTAAATTTTAAATGTTCTTCAATCCCTTTTGCACTGATTGTTATTTTCTGGGAAATGCACATATTGAGGATTTGGGGAAAACACTTGGGAGCTGGAAATTCCTTTGTGTGTTCTAATAAAAACATGTGTTTATTCAGTAGGCAGACCCACATCAATAGATACACACACATGGGCTTGCTAGGCATGTACATTGCACACCTCATCTCCCCTTGCCATATAAAGGCAAAACCAAAGACTAGTCTTGATTTTCTGTGGGGGATTGGAGGTTTTCATGTTTGTGTCTAGTTTCTTCATCTAGCTATTTGACAGGTTGGTGGCAAGAAGTAAATTCCTGCTTCTCCTCAGTATCACTGGCCACAGTTCCTTCAATACCAGCTTGTTCTTATGTAGAAAACTATAATGATGCATATAAAATAAGTAAAATACCATCTTTTTAGACCACTGCGTTGCATTTAGATGGATAGATGAATTCAATTGTGTCCTACAAACCTTTATAGGGTGTCAGCTGCACCCAGGCTCTGGAGCTCTGCTGCCAGTCTAGCAGGAGAAGCAAGAGGGAGGGTTAACCCCAGAGGAATGAAACTGGGAGGAAACTCACAGAGGACACAAGCTGCACTGGGGACCTGGAGAACATACAGCACAGCCACCACAGGCCAGGAGCAGTGCACAGGTGGGCAGTGAAGTGGGGGACCTGAAGGGGCATCTTAAGCAGATGGAGCCACAGCAGGTGACATCTGAGATCTAGGAAGGGTAGCCCATCTCACCTTCCCTGCACACTGGTCTCAGCTGGGGAGCTTTACTTCTGGGCGGGGCCCCCCTTAAGAGAAGCACATGGGTATTAGAATTTTTTAAAGCACTCCAGGGGGTTATAATATTCAGCCAAGATTAAGAACCACTACCCTTAGGTTCTCTGAATGCTGTGCTTTAGAGAGCATTTCCAGAAAGCATCAGTGAGAGGACAGAAGCCCCACCAAACTTAGACATGATGATAGTAAAGCGATGGACCCATGTGGAAATTTGGGGTTGCTTCAATTCCTCAACAGTGTCTGAGCAACCAAAAAATAAACCCTGCCCCAGTGTTTCTCCAAGTGCGTTTCTGGGCCCTTTCTGCATCAGAAAGATTTATAGTGATTGCTAAAGATGCAGATTCTCAGACTTCACTAAGCCCTTCTCAAGCAGAATGAGGAGTGAGGAAATTGGAAATTTCACAAACTGCCCAGGCAAAGCTTTTGCACACAAAAGTTAATGGACCTGCCCTCCCATTCAGACCATCAGAGTTGGGCCAGAGTTCCTTATAGTTGGTGAGGGTGTCATATTTGAGTTCTTCTCCAACTTCTCTATGTTCTGCACTTCAGAATACAAGGGCAGAGGAAACTAGACCTTTAGATGTAATTCAGAAAAAGAATAAAACAGCAGAATTTCTTTTAAACCAAGGCAAAATGCAGAAGTAGGTTGTTAAGAACAGTCTGTACCTTTCTCTCAAATCCTCAAGGTCTCTGCCAAGATTGGATTATGGAATCATGATCAGACATTCTCATTGCCTGTCCCCCATCTGGGCCCTAGGTAATCTCTAAAATCAGTATCTTCATAGATGTAGGTGGAAGATGATCCTGCTTATGCCTCTCACATGCTTCAAAAATGCCCACTTCAGGGATGGCTCATGAAGTCAACAGATGATTGCTTCCTGTGTTTGCTCTAGACTAATCACCATGAGGCAGCACCTCAGTTCTGTTCACTATCATTTCCCCAAGATCCAGCACAATTTTTGGTTCATATTAGGTACTTACTGTATTTGTTGAATGACTAAATGAGTGAATACAGATTATCAGAAGCAAATCAATTTCCAAATAAGTTTTACCTGGAATCCCACATATGTATTTAGATGAATTTCTCTCATCTCCAGTATTTTAGAGTAAATAATGTAGGTGCTTAGTGATTTATATTTATGCACATAACACACACATTACACATGTCACTGCTGGCACGGGAACGCAGAGGGAGAAGTCAGGGCTGCAGAGTTGTCTGTTACTTGTTGCAAATAGTCTCTTTTTCTCAAGCCATTCTTTCTTAACTACTTACCCAAAAATACATTTATTCCTGAAATTCAAGTCACCAGATTCAGACTGAACATTTATGGCATGACTGCTTTATATCAGGTCCTGTCCAAGGTGGTCTCGCTGGTTATGTCCGTCAGGTCATGCATTTTTCACAGCTTTAGAGATAGAGACAGTCCCCCTGTGTTACTGATGTGAAAAGTCAGGCTGCTCCCCACCCTCATTCATATCAGTATATAATTAACCCAGGTAGTATTTGGACCCAAGTCTTGTGATTCTGCCCCATTGCTCCTCCCACTTTCCCCCGCTTACGTCAGTGAAATAAACCAAGCACAGAAGCATAGAAAATTACTCCAAAGCACATTTCCCAAAACTTGTGCCTATTTCCACAAGGCTTTCAAATTACCCTGCTGACCTGACCTTTGGTTTTGCATGCAAAAATGATGAAAGCAGGACCACCAGGCTGGAGAACAGGACTATCAAAGAATGGTGCCTTTTGAGTTCCTCACTCTCCTACCCTCCACCCCAAACCTGGCTGTCTTCGAATGTGCCAAGAATTGGCTCTCTTTGGAAAAAAAACTCCCAGGTGTGGCTTCTCATTTAGCCTCTACAGCCTTCTCATTTAGAAGTAACAGCTCTGCAGCCCTGACTTCTCCCTCTGCCTGCCCCTGCCAGGGGAGCGCACAGAGGAGTCATGGATGCTCGACTGGGAAGAAGAACAGACGTATGTGGGTAGATGAGCCAGATGTCAGGAGAGCTGGCTTGTCTGAGAGGCAAAGAGAGATGAACGTGGGCCCTCTCTTGGGCATCTCTGTCTTCCCAGCGGCCCTGCTTCTCCCCTAGGGGCCAGGTGGGAGTCTCCACAGAGAGCCTGAGGGAGGTTGCAAAACAAGCCAGAGACTGAAGGCCTGTCAGCTTTGCTTGGGTGTCTCAAATCCCCTAGACCCAGCCCAGCTGCTATTTTCCATTCTTCAGAAAGGAAAACTGTCAGGTGATGCTGGCAGTAGTTATTTGTTCTCATTAGCTGGGCCTGTGGGTGTGTGATTATTTGCGGTACGAATGCTAAGCGTGCAATGCTATGATGAGGGCAGGGTCCCATTCCACGGATTATCTTGTGGACCTATTAGAAGTTGCAGCACAAATTCCAAACAACTGGTCTACTGATGCTTTAGGGAAGCTTAGCTGTTAAAGGTGGGAAAGAGACCCAGGAAGCTGCCTTTGCAGACAGTGCCCAAAAAGGCACCTACACAAGCTGCCTGCTCTTCGGCAGAGAGCCCATGAGTCCCTCCGGGTGACAGAACCCCGTGTCTGTAGGTAAATAAATGATGCATCCATGTACCTTTGTTCAACTTTCAGGTAGAGCAAACAATTGTCCCAAGTACATGCCAGAAGGAACAGTGTCAGAGATAGAGCTGGAAAGCCTGCAGGACAACAGACTTGGATTACAAAGATATTTATTACAGTGTTTATTCCTGCAGGCTGTTACAGTTAGGATATTCATTTATGTCTCCGGTTAAATCATGTAGAGAGCTATTTTATGTGACGACTCTTCCACTGGCTTAAGTGGGGAAACAGCTTGGAGGAAGAAGAGAAAATAGTATTAGCGATTTTATGAAAATGTAACCCCAATCTTGAAATCCAAAAGAACTATATAAATCGTTTATAGTATGAATAAACTTCAGTACACTCTTTCTGATTCAGGCTGAATTAATAGTTCAATTCTTCTGTTTATTTTTTTTAATTTGCCAATAATAAAATAGATGATATATAGTTTGAACTTAAATTCTTAGAGACTTATGAATTGGAATGAATAGCTAAAACTGAAAGATTTTCAAAATTATGCTGTTGGTCAATTTGTGTGGGCTGAGTGATATTTAACACTGCTGTGATCATGGATAAATTAAGTGATAAAGGGAAACAGAAAGCACCAGTTAAGGAAAATATGATTTATGTTGGTCTAAGATTATTCTCAGGTATGTTTCTTTAACTTGGGTGAACTACAAAAAATAAAAATTAGAAAAAAACCCTAAAACTACTTTTTCTTCAAAACCATGTAAGTTTTGTTGTTTCAATGAAAACTTCAACGGTGGGCTTTTAATGAAAGGCCTTTATTAGTTAGTTTCAATGAAAGGTCTTTCTTTTGTACCTAATGTCAACAATGTAAATTTGGAAAGGATTCTGATAGAAAAAAAATTCCTCTTGTGCATACACCTGAACCAGTCAATTTTAGGTAATCTAATTCTAGTCATTTATAATGCCTCCTAATCACAAGTTGATGACAGCCTGTATTTTAATTTTCTCTGAGACTTACTGGTAGCCAGCTGTCATTAAGGATGTGCTATTTTGTCAATATTGAGTCAAGAAACAATTAAGCTCCTTGAAAACATTCTTACCATAATATGTTCCACTAGTCAGGGAAACGAGCACACATAGTTTAGCATCATGAAAAATAAGTTTTTTATCAGGAAAAAAAAGATGAAAGTGTGTTTCTCAGCCTTGCATTGTTCATTGAATGTGGGAATTACCAAGGTGATTGCATGCTTATCACTCTGTGTTATAACTGTGTTCTTGCCAACCTCCTACCAGCTATGCTCTGTTTGAAACCAAGGAAGACATCCTAGTCATTTAGCTATGCAAATATTCTGCAAATTCCTATTAAATATGTGAAGAAAGAAATGAATGAACATAAGTACCTTATATCTAGGATATTTAAATATTCTGACTTAGTCTTTAATGCCATCAGTTTTAGTTATCACACTAAATGTTTACAGTTTATGTATTGGCTAAAAATACCACATAATTCACCTGTCTACCTTAATTTTAATAGTAGCTATATGGGAATATAATTTAAAGGTTGTGGTAAAATTTGGTAAATGACGGTGAAGTATTTTTGAAATCTGCAAGTAAAAAGAAATCTTATTGCAAACACATATAGAAATGATGAATGGTTATCTGGGGAAAATGCCCTATTCTTTAAATACCAGGGACATGCTCCTGGTTTTACATGTAGCCCTTAGCTGGAATAGTGTCATGTGACCACTCCTAAGCCAATCACTGAAAAGGAATGGAATTGCCAGGATAAGCTTAGATTAATCAGATTCACCCTGTTGGGCTGAGAGGGCCCCGGCTTCCCCTGTTGTCTCATGCTGATTGATACATGAAAAGAAAATTAGGGTTCTGTTAATATAACATAAGAATTATATTTGGTTGTATATTTGAGGAAACTCAAAATAACAGTGGCTATTTTATTTCTCTATCACATAGAAGTTCAGAGATAGTGCAACATACTTGCATCATCAGGACCAGGTTCATCCTATTTTTCTGCCCAACATATGCTTAACATAAGACTTTCATTGTCAAGGTGGCTGCTGAAGCTCCATCCATCATTTTTATATCCCAGACAGAAAAAGGAGGAGGAAGAAGGCTGAACCCCTTCTTAGAGACTTCCTATAAGTCCAAGAAAGTAGTTTACTTATAACTTATTGACCGGAAGTTTGTCACATAGCGACACTTAGCTAAAAGAGGGGCTGGGAAATGTAGTTGGATATGCCCAGACAAAAAATGAAATTAAATTTTAAAAAAAGGTTTGCTACTTGGAGGAAGAGGAAAATGGATATAGGAGTAAACAATTACCAGACTCTATTACAGGTAGCAAATACAAGAGGATGGCATAAACAAAGACATAGAGGAGGAAAGCAGAGCATGTAGGAAACAGTGAGGTATCCTTATTCTATACCATGCAGCCTATCCTATTGCAAGTAATGTTAAACAGTGAAGCAGTCACACAGCAAAAGAATGGGAAGGAGAGGCAAAAGGCATTATAAATCAGCGAAGTGTAGAAACTGTGTACAGATAATTAGGATCATGTTTTGTACTTTATCATTTTTTTAGCCTTCTTGGAGTACTTTACATATGAAAGGGTATTATTTTTCCAAATATGGAAATGTGAAAGTCAAGGTATGAATGATCTTTCCAGCCTAACTGTCTTAATTAGCAACAAGGTCACCTTTGGAAAAAGAAAAATATTACCTAGAAAGATAGGCTTATTATGAAAGAATCAGGTCCTCCATGTGTAGGGGAAAGAGGCAAATGAGGAACTAATTAGATACAGTAAGCTGTGGGAAACCTATTGGTAAATTAGAGTCTGTGCATATAAAGTCTCATTATTATAAATGGCAACTCTTTTCTTTATTTTTTAAAGGTAGCCAACCAAGTTGTTCAAGCTCTGCTCACTCAAAAGGTAGGTGACTTTCTGGCTTTATTATTTTCAAAGTACTTCTGTGAATAGATTGGAACTCATATTGTCAAACCAGAAAATTATGATTGATAGATGCAATACTCTTCTATTTATTCACTTAGGTTAAAATTGTGTGTGTTTTAGATGGCATATGAAGTAGCACCAGTGACCAATGGAATCAAAAAAATTCAAATTGTTGGTAAAGTAATAGAAAGACTTTTGAAGATGAAAGATTTCTGTGGACCCAGATGAGTAGCAAACCAGCTGTTTTTATTTAGTAAATGAAGACATTAAATAAGTTGATAGATTTCTCCAATTCCAATAAAATGAACAGTCTCTTGTGAACAGTATTAACAGAAGCCTAAAATTCAGCAAGAGATCTTTGTGGCTAGGGAAGTTATTTAATTTCTCTGGGTCTTAGTTCCTCTTCTGTAAAATTGGAATAACGCCCATGGAGTTCCTGGTGTGCCCAGCTTCTGTCTTGGCATTTCTGGGATGTGGTCACATCATGGTCCAGAATAACTGCTCTAGTTCCAGTCATTACATCCACATTTCAGCCTTCAGAAAGGAAGAAAATGATGAGAGTAAAGGGCGCACGCCAGCTGTTTTTTAAAAGAGACACCCAAAAGTTTTGAGATCACTCTACTTACATCTGTTTGAACAAACCTTAGTCACACAACCACACTAAGAAAACTGAAAATCAGGTCTTTTTTTAGGTATGTGTCCTTGTAAAAATTGATTGTCATATTATTGTGGAAGAAGGGGAGAAATAGATATTGAAGGGCAACTCACAATTTCTGTCACAACATATTTGAATGCCTTTTTCTTTTTTCAACAACTTGAATTTCTCAATTGCTTTTTCCTCCTGTTGGAAACTCTATCCCTATTTGATTACAAGCCTGAGGAATGAAGAGAGCACTATTACAGCTCTGTGTGTAACTGTCAAAAGACTTCTCATGCCTGTTTTTGTCATGCTGCCGCAGGAAAGAGACAAGAAAACAGTCTGGTACAATATGAAGGAAAATGGGACCCTTAAGGTCAGCCACAAAAAATAGCTACACAAAACCGAGTAATAACTAGTAAACAGATAAATCAACCTTGGTACAATTAAGCAGTAAGACACAGAAAGACATGCTACTACACCTCAGGGACACCAAGGGGCAGGCCAAGATGCCAGCACTTTCGGAGATTCCTAAAGAATATGTTCTGCAGGAACATGTGCCTCTCAGTTTTTATAGGGACTGTAAAACTGCTACAAGAAGACTAAAATTTCCTTCTAATTAAGACCCTGATATAGGAAATAAAGTGTACTTCAAATGCAGATGAGAAAACATTCTCGAGAAGGATGTAGCTGGCACAGAGTACTAACAGAAGTCTTGAGTGATTCATCCACGTCACACACACACACACACAATCCTTGAGGTGAAGGTACAGTCATAACCATTGAGTTTTGGAATATATAATTTGTTATGACACGAAGGCAAATCTGCCATGGCTTCAGCTCCTCTCTGAACCTCCAAAAAAGCATTTTTCTGGCATATCCTGAATTGGCCCAGACAAGCATCTTGAAGCAATAGAGTGTACTTCTCTTCCAGATACCAATAAAAAAAAATTATTTCCATACACTTACAAGTTTCTGTAAAATGTGCATATATTGTCTTAGTCATGTAATCGAACTTACTCAAAAACCTGTGGATTCCCTTAAGAGAACAGACTGTTCCTCCTTTAGATCAATAATGATAAAGCGACAATATTAAATCCAGCTCACTTCCATTTATGCCTCCAAATCATAGGTCCATGTCTGTGAGTGCAAGTGAGATAAATAATACTGGCTAAACTCATATTCCTGTCAGAAATGTATTTTATCTTCATCAAATCAATTACACTCACTGAAAATGTAACTCTCTTAGTTTCTTCAGTGTTTTGTCTTGCCCCTGACACCAAAGTTGAAAGAAGAGCATTTTCCCCTGTGGTTATGTTCTGACATATCAACAGTCTCTGCCTTATCTGTATATTCTTTAGGATAACCAAATATTTCTATGGTGTTTTTTCTTCACTAACATGGAATAAGGCTCTTTTATGGGGGAAACCAGCAATACAACCATCCAGATAGAAGAGAACAGTTTGATAGCTTGTCCAAAGAACCCCAAACCCCTACAGATTCCCTTTGTAGAGGGGCAGTCAGGCCATCTGTGTCCACTGGCCTAGCAATGGCACATATGGTGTTGGTTCCCTGAAGAGGGTCTGTGTGTATTTGCTGTAGACTTACAGGGAGTCAGACCCATGCCCCCCTATTTTAAATGCACTAAGTTATTTGGTTCTCAGTACAACCCTGTGAAAACTAAGAAAATAGTTTCCCCATGATTTCAAATGTTAGAAGTGGAAAAGCCCCATCCCTTTAACCTAGGGTTCTTATGCTTAGACCCCATGTTCTTATCCTTACCACCATTTGGCCCCCATGATCCCATTCAGTCACTTACTGTTTTTCCCCACTGTAGTTCAGCAGGCAGAGAAGCAGCTCCGGAAACCAGTAGATGGATTGCAATCCAATCATCACATATGAGCACAGGAAATAAAACAAAAGGGCAAGGTAGCCAGTGGATGTCTTAAAACTCTGGAAACTTTGCCAGTCCTTGCTAGCAAGAAGAGCATCTAGGATATGGAGTCCTGTGTATGAATTCAAAACTGATACTGTAAATTTGGAGTCAAGCTTTCTCAGAATAAGTCTTATTTGGATACTAGAATTTCACAGTTGCTAAGGACTTTAGCAAGCATTTAAACGTGAGATTGTCAACTAGCTTTGGTAATGGGCTCAATTCACTATAATTACATAAACTATGTAGCCATCACTCAGAATAAGAGTATTTTAATCTGAGTGCTGTTAGGATGAAGGCGTACAGTATCAGTTAGTCGCAGGACCCGCTACTTCCTAGTCACTACAGCTAGCCTGACTCAGTCACACATTTATGTAACCTGCCTTTGGGGTATTTGATGTTGAGACCCTTGGTTAATCTGAGATGTAACCAATCTTTTCCAGAAATGGCTTTTTCTTTTTACAAAAATCTTAGCATCCTTGGAAAGGAAAAAACGATGTATCAGTGACAGCCACAGAGAAGCAATGCGATAAGGAGAAATCGGTGGGTGTGGTGTCCATTAAGCTTCAGGGTAGGAACAGGGTGGCACTTGACAAGCCATCTCAGGAAGCAGCTGAGGCATACATTCTCTTGACTGTGCGGTTTTGTGCACTAGCTCAGTTCACAGATAAGGAGGCCTAACAAGAATGAGTTATTCCCTCAAGGTCATGTGTGTAATGAGGACCAGAGCCCAGGCCCCCTGACTCCCAAGCTAGTGTATTCCTGATACACACTGCCTCTGAAATTAGGTATGCCTCTGTCGTATCATTTTTACATGATAAAATCAGATTTAAATAGTTTTAAAAAATATTCCAGTGATATCAGTATATGGCCTGCTTCTAACAAATCAACTTAAATTTACTTCAGCAGGGAGCTGATAATGGTTTTCCTTAAAGCATAAAGTAACTGTACTCCATAGGTCCTATGTAGCAGTGAATCCAGAATCTTCTTTGGCCTAAGTGCAGGTGAAACCTACCAGGATTGCAGAGTGTGGGGGCCTCTTAGACTCATGTATCATATTGCTCAGTATATCTTGCCTATGTTTCAACTGCAATTCCTTCCTCTTTGCTTCCAATTCATGGTCATGTGTACACAGCAAGGAAAGCAGGTGTGGCTGTCACCTTGAACCCAAAACCACTATCCTTTCTTAAGTCGGATTAAATGTAGTCAAGCTGTGGACATTATTCTCCCCCACCCCTGATAAAATTATATATCATGGCCCTTCTTTCATTTCAGAAAATGCAACCCTGTATTTTCAGTGGGGTCTTCCTCCTGAGGCCTCAGACACTGTAGGGAGTCATAGAAAAAGAAGGGTATGAGAGAGGACGGATGGCCCAGCCTCTGCTGTGAGTCCTGACTCCCAGTGCTGGCATCTGAGCAGAGGAGAGTTTCGTTGTCGATAATGCCTTCCTTGGGGAGGACAGTCTAGGTCTTGCTTCTGTAACTGGCAAGAGCAGAATAGTGGCTTTTGGCCCCACTAAATGGGTCATGTGCTCCTTTTGTCAGTGAGTTCCCAGTGTGAACACAAGAATGCAAAGACAGCTGGCTGCCTGCCTGCCTTTGCCCAGGTCTTGCTGTAGCAGTCACAGAAATTCTTATTTTTCTCTCTCTTTCCTCCTGCCCAGTCAGGTTCCATGTGTGCATATAGGCACACATGCCTGGCTTTCATTATGGTTTCTTGGGATGATAGCTGTCTGGCATCATTTCCCATCCACAACTTGACTAAAGAGAACAAGAATATTAAAAGAACACAGGCAACTCCTTTATGTCTATAAAACTTCAGTCCAGCTCAATTCTGTTTGTGACTGTGAGACCAGTGTCACAGTCCTAAAGCCTTCCATTTCCCCCTCTGCTGTGTGCTGAGCTAGATGAGCCACGAGTGATCAACAATTCTCAAAGTCAATAAATTGTCTTCCTGCTAATGACCGATTACTGCCTTAAGTGATAGTAATGGCCATTGAAACTTGGACTCCTGTACAGAATCTCTCTATAGACTATATGGTTTGTTTCTTTTGTTCTTTTTTTTTTAACCTATCAGAAGAACTCTCAAGTTATTCTGTTTTGCTAACAATTGCTGATGCTATTCCTTACAGGCCTCCTTTCTTCTTGCAAATCCATGCTTGTCTGCTTCTGTTTCCATATCACTACCTGCAAATGAGAATGATTGTGTTTTCCCACCCAGTAGATACTATTAATATTTATTTGCCTCACAGTCAAATTTTATTAATTACTTAATTAGCAATAGTGAAAACAATTAGTGTTTGGGAGCAGGGAGTGTTATACATGTGCTAAGAACAAAAATTAGTGTAAGTGAGACACAGAGGTTGAATTCTAAACAAAGAAAATAAATTTAGCCTTTTAATTTGAGCAGTGCATATGCTCCTAACCTGGCCTCTGCCCAATGGCATCTGTGTTCCTACATGCACACACATACACTCCTGCCCACCTTTGACAGTTACTGCCCTCCGAGATCTTGGACCCAGGTGCTTCATTCTGAACATGACATTTCTTTTCCATGCATTTGCAGGCAGCAATCAGGTAGAAACATCCTGTGTACACGCTTCATGCCTTTAACTAAAGATACGAGGACAGTGTAACCTGTGCAGTGAGTCATACCCTGGCCTGTGTCTTTGCCCCTGGAAATAGAATTAACAAGGCTGAACATGAGGATGTATGCTCAGGGAAAGCCTCAGAAGCCAGACTGCTCCATCTTCATGCTTAGGTTGACACAAGGTTATGGAACAGGCCCACTCACCTCTGTAACTCCTGTGTAGGGCTGGGGATCGGAGCTGTCGATTGCTGCTCTGCTGTGCTTTCAGAGCCATAAGTGAGACCTGTAGCTGCCCTATATTGGAATACTTAGATCTATAAACAAGAAGTGTTGAGAAGCTTAAATTCTCTCACACTATCACAGGAGACTAGAATTTGTCATCATAATGCCCTGTAACAAAATAATTGCACATGTTTATTCTCCTACTGTATGTGATGCTCTGCTAGGTGATGAAATAAACAAGTATAACAATACTATGCTTGTGCTGTTGTTTTATCTGAGCACCTTCTTGGCTTGTCATTTGAGGAATGTGTCATCTGATTGACAAGATAAGTCTAGAGCATGGAAGATAAAATCAATACAAAGTATGTATATTAAATGTCATATGGGAGGTGTTGAGGTCTTACTGGAGTTTTAGAAGTGGGAGCAGTCTTTGGGGGATGCCAGATAAAAGTGTCAGAGAGGAGATAGAATTTGAATTGGACTTCAATCAGAGAGCCAAACTTGAACTGGAAGAAGTTGATGGGTAAGAAGGGAAAGTGGAGGTGGGAGGGGAGCCTAGACCTTTCGAGAAAACAGAGCAGATCCTTCTTCACATACTAAGAACAGAATAAGACTTTTTTTGAAAATCAGAATATAGTGAAAGATAAAATTTGAAATGTAAGAAAGGGTCAGCTTTTAAAGAACCTTGAATTGGGGCTTTATTCTCCTTTGTCTTTCTTGAACCCCATCAAAGAGGGTGTAGACATTTAAGTACTACAGGTTCCTTTATCACAAGTTAGCTCGGAAGGCAGTTCCTTGGTGGGATTCCAGAGAAATCCTATGTTGTAGCTTCCCTCATGAGAGTTAGGGAAAGATCTCTGTGGTGTTTGAACCATTCCAAAGAACTGCTCCACAAAGGATTCCAGGGTACAATCACTCTACTTCTCCCCCAGCACTATGACCGAAACATCCCAAAAGGGTATGGGAATCCACTAGGTCAGAGGATGGACAAGTTTCAAGTAGCCTGTGAAAGCCTTCATTTCAGAGTCGCTTCTCTCCTGCTAAATGCGTCACTGACCCTATTAGCCAGTGTTGAAAATTTCAACTTGTTTCCGCAAATGACAACAAAAGTCTCCATCAAAAGTGATAGTTTCTTTATTTCATCAAATCTCTATTCACCGCAAAAACATTATTGTCCTTGTGGTTTGTGCTTTATGATTGCTTTTACAAAGTCAGTGAAAAGGTAAAAAAAAATAGATGGAAACTTATATTGACTTTATATCACTAACATTTATCATATTCAAAAATAGCATGCTAGATTAATGCATTTCTGATTTTAAGGTGCGTTTTTGTTTAATTGGTCTTCTATGCACATAATAATTCTACCAGACATTGGGCTGTGGAAGAAAACACTGTATGTGACTTAATTTCTGGGGGATTTGCAGAATAAAAATACTACTTTTTGTGAATGTGTCTGAAGTATCAAATAAAATATGGTTATGTATGCAAATGTGTATTTCAGTTATAGACTTTTCCCCATGTTTTTGTTGTAGGATCTAAGGGAGGAATGTTTAAAGTTGAAAACAAGAGTGTTTGATTTAGAACAACAGAATCGAACATTAAGTATCCTGTTCCAACAGCGAGTCAGACCAACTTCTGATCTGCTCCTCCAGGTAAGTGTTCATGTGGAAAACAATCTTTGCTACTGAACTCTATTGACAGAAGTTATGCAAGTTCAAAAGTTACCAGTAACCTCTCTGGAGAAGGAATAATGCTTCAGAACCCCAGTTCTACCCCTTTCAAGGAATGTCATTAAAATTGAACATCTCTTAAATCTCTGACTTTTAAAAGCTATGTTTAGATAAAGAAATGCATCAACAAATAATGAACAGGTGAAATGGATAATCAGAAGGGATCCTCTAGTAAACTAACTGAAACTGTGGGATGGAGTCAGGAAATAATCAATTGCTTTGCAGACCACTATTAGTAATCATGCATTTCCATGACAAGAAAGGAAGGGTTTCATGTGTTGCTGAAGAACATTTCTTTATTTCAAACTCTGTAATTAAATATACAGCTTGGATTTGCTTTTCTTTCATATCTCTTGAAGTGTTCCTCCTCACAACACAATTCTTATTTTCTGCCTCAGTGTTTTATAGGTCCTCTTTGTCTAATTACTCTCACCAAACTCTTTCTTTACTTGCCTTCATAACATGCAAAGTCATGGAAAGTCCAACTGTTTGAATCATTTTGAAACTCTTCCTGACAAAGCACTAGAGAATATATCTGACCTCAGGGTGAATCTGGAAGAGAAGCTGAAGGGCTGATCTTTGCTGTTTGCTATCCTATTAATGTGTATATTTGCTCACTCAAGCCTCACTGAGCCTTGCTCTGAGCCCGTTGGAACCTAAGCTGGCAAAGACTATGTGAGGTCTCAAGGGGCATCATCATACAGTATTTATCGGATGGTCCCCGGCTACCTGGCCTGACTGGCTGAGAGAAAGGGAGAAGAAGGAGGTCTCCTCTGCACTGCACTGTCCAGCACTATAACCGCTAGCCATGTGGCATTATTGAAATTTAAAATTTAAATTAAATTAAAATTAAGTTCTTGCATCAAATTAGCTATAGGTGATGTACTGAAAACCCACATATGGCCAGCAGCTACCATGTTGGACAGTGCCTATATAAGAACATTTCCATCACCACAGAAAATTCTACAGTACAGTGCTTTTCCAGATGGTTGAAACAATGTTGCTAATTCACCCTCTGAACTTTGGCATAAACATCTTTCCCTGATTCCTCAGAGAAATAATGAGAAATCACAGTTCATTTCAGAGAAAGATGTTTGGTAAGCCAAACAGCAAAATGTAATTTCCCCCCAAATTAAAATAAAACAGCTCTCTGAATTGTAAAATAGATCTCATCTCTTAAATTAATTTCCTCTCTGCTTTATCTGTTAGAGCATAATTCATAGTTTATGACTCAAAATTGTGTGGAAAAAAATTGTCTTATCTCTATTCTTTTTCCTGGTTCTCTACCACCACAAATGTTTGTCAAATAATCTTGCATCTGTAAAAATTGTATGTCTTTTGCTTTCTCATATCAAGATCCAGTATTATAATTACTTTTAACAGCTATTGCACATCCATGAATTTTCCCATTTTGTCTGTTTCAACTTGAGGATTTTCTGAAACAACATCTAAGGGTCTCCAGTTCCTGTTTGTGAATCATGATGGTTTATTACCACAGTAAACATGTGCACCATGGGTATTTAAACTTTTTTACTGGCTGTCACAAATTTCTTAAAGCCATATCCAAACGGTATGTATGGTAACAATAGAACTCAGCATTTATTCATAGGGTGTTTCAGCCAGCATACTTCATGATCCTCCCCAGACAGTCCTCACCTCTAGGACCCATTCTAATTTAAATGACCGATGGGCTGTTAGTAATGATAAACAATGGTAGAAATTAAGGAAGAAGATACAAAGAATGATAGAAATGTCTGTGCTCCAGCATGGTACAACTCACAGTCACAGACAAATTTGCTGGTTTTTCAGGTGGTCGGTTTATTATTTGACTCACGATTTTTAATTCACTGGTGGTACAAAATACATGCCATGGAGCAATGGTTAAGTAAAGGCAGTCTGAGCTCACTTTGCACTATGGAATATGTGTAATTATTTATTGAATAGAATAATGAATAAATGACACAATTAATTCTGCAAGTTGGAGAGCTATTTTGCATACACCTAGGAGAGGTTTATGCCCCACCTCTTTTTCTGTACTTTCTCTGTCTTATGAGGATGCTTGGGAAACATGTAGCCATGCCAGTCCAGCCCTGTCTGATTGAGCATGTGGCTCTTGGATGTAGCAAATCTACCAGTGTGCATGGCTTCAAGTATTAATTGACCTTGTAGCTTCCAACCATGAGCTGGAGATTCAGTACAGTAGATTTCTAAGCAGTCCTCTTCATATCTTAGAAGACAGCATTAGTTCACCTTCCTTCTGTGCTCCCTCCACATGGAACATAAATGGGCAAGAGGAACATTTTTCTGATTCTGTGTTCTAGCTCACATTTTGATTAACTGGTCCTCTTGTGATTGAATTGGATCAGAGGGTGTCTGTTAAGGAGCCTACCATATTTACACATTTCTGAAAGCCTCTTATTTGTGACATCCAAGATTTTACCCTCTTCTTTGTGTTCTGCTTTTGTCTTGTTTTGGACATCTGTGTTAACATTATTCTAATAGGATATTCTCATATTTTCTGCCTAACCCATTTGGTTTCCTTTTTATCTGATATTTCAAAGTGTCTAGTACTCCTATCCTTAGGCCAAGAGAGAAAGAAAAGAATGTTATAGTGGAGATTATTCACATAAACAGGTGAGAATCTGACAGGTTAGCATCAAGGTGTAAAAATTTGCTGTCACTTCTTAGTGTGTTGATTGTTTCTGCTAACATTTTGTTTTATATTATTTCAGGTAAAATAAGAGGATTTTAAAATTCTACTTGCACTTTTATTTTTCTCCCTTAAATCCTTATTTTCAGAGTGTAAATCTACATATGAGTCTGATTTGGCAGGACACTACATTACACACTCACCTTTCCTTTGTCCTCAACTCCCCGGCAATCGCCAGTCTGTTCTTTCTGAGTTCTGTGTTATTTTACTTTACATGAAAGTGAGATCATACTGTTTTTGCCTTTCTCTGTCTGACTTATTTCACTTGGCATAATCCCTTCAAGGTCCATCCATGATTTGGAAATGTTACAGCAAATATCAGCATTTCCTTCTTTTTTTGTGGCTGAATTCTATCTATCTATCTATCTATCTATCTATCTATCTATCTATCTATCTATAAATCTCACATTTTTGTTTTCCATTCATCTTCTAATGGATTGTGTACATGTGTGTATATGTGTGTTTGTCACATTTTCTTTATTCAGCAACCCATTGATGCACAGTTAGGCTGTTTGCTTGTATGGGCTGTTGTAAATGCTGCAATGAATTTGGGTTTGTAGGTAACCTCTTTGAGATAGTGATTTCATTTCCTCAAGATAGATGCCAAAAAGTGGAATTGCTAGATCGTTTGGTAGTTTTATTTTTAACTTTTTTGAAGAATCTCTGTAACGTTTATCATAGAGACTGTCACAATTTATATTGCCACCAACCATGTACACATGTCCCTTTCTCTACATCATCACCAGCACTTACCTCTTGTCTTTTGGATTATACTCATTCTAACACATATGAGGTGACGACTCATTATGGTTTTGATTTGCATCTCACTGGTGATTAATGATGATAAGCACTTTTCCATCTACCTGTTGGCATTTGGAGTATCTTCTTTGGAAAAATGTCTATTCAGATCCTTTGTCCATTTTTTAATTGAGTTATTTGATTTTTTGCTCTCGAGTTATACAAGTTGCATATATATTTTAGATATTAACCCCTTACCAGTGTGGTTTGCAAATATTTTCTCCCATTCCAAAAGTAGCTTTTTCATTTTATTGACTGCTGCTTTTTCTGAACAGAATCTCTTCTAGTTTGATGTAGACCCACTTTTTTTTATTTTGTTGCTTGTTTTTTGGTGTCATATTCAAGAAACCATTGTCCAGACAAATTTCAAGGAGCTTTTTCCCTGTCATATGAGTTTAATGTTTCAGATCTTACATTTAAGTCTTTAACCTAGTTCAAGTTAATTTTTATGAATGATAAAGATAGAGCTCTAGTTTCATTCTTTTACATGTGAATATCCAGTTTTTCCAGTACCGTTTACTGTAGGAACTATTTTTCTCCATTGAGTGTTCTTGGCTACCTTATCAAATATTATTTGACCATATATGCATTTGGAGGTGGGGACAGCTCTCTGTTTCATTGGTTTATGTCAGTTTTTATGCCAATATCATGCTGTATTGATTACTACAGCTTTCTAACATTTTGAAATCAGGAAGTGCGATGATGCCAGCTTTGTTTTTCTTTTTCAAGATTACTTTGGCTATTCAGAGTTGTTTGTGATTCTAAACTAATTTCAGAACTTTTTTTCAATTTCTGTGAAAAATGACAGTGGAATCTTGATAGAGATTTCAGTGGATCTGTAGATAGCTTTGGGTAGTATAAACATTTTAACAGTATTAATTATTGCTATCCATGAACACAGGGTATCTCTGTCCTCTTCCACTTCTTTCATTTATATTTGCCCTCCTTCCATTTCTTTCATCAGTGCTTGTCATTTTCAGTGTGGAGATCTTTCACCTCCTTGATTAGACTTATTTGTATGTATTTTATAGTTTTGGATTCTACTGCTTTATTTCTTTTTCAGATGATTCATGGTTAGTATATAAAAACTGCTGATTTTCGTGTATTGATTTTGTATCCTATAACTTTACAGAATTTGTTGACTAGAGCTAATAGTTTTTTGTGCAGTTTTTCTGATTTTTTATGTATAAAATCATGTCATCTGCAAATAGAATTTTACTTTTTCCACCCCAATTCTGATGCCTTTTCTTTCTCTTCCTTGCCTAAATGCTAAAGCACTTTTGGTACTATGTTGAATAGGACTGGTGAGAGTGGGCACACTTGTCTTGTAACTAATCTGAGAGGAAAAACCTTTGACCTTTCATCATTCATCATTGAATATATTGTTAGCTATGGCATTGTCATATATGACCTT